AAAAAGCCCACCATCCCTGCTGGAGGCCTTTCAGCATCCTGGCCAGCAACAGGAGCAGTAGAGAGGTCCTCTGAGCAGAACAGAGTAGCAGCCTCCGCTGCAGCCAATCAGGGTGCAGCAGGCTGATATAAAAGCAGCTGCTAGGGCAGGCCCTGTCAGTTTCTTCCTGCAGCTTGCCCCAGGCAGATCTCAGGGCTGACTGGAGAACACCAGCACTCTGGACGGCTCCGAGTGGGAGCTGGGCATCATACCTGGTCGGAGCCAGGTCCTGTGGCTGAAGGCTAGCCAAGAAGCCAAAGACAACCCTGCAGAACCTTGAACAAGGGTCTCAATCACAAGGCCCTGGAGAAGGGCTGGATGGAATAGCAACCTGAGGACGTGTCCCAGGGACATGACAGCAACTAACAACTTGAAACTCAGCAGGTAACTACTACTTGTAGAGTCCCTGGACTGGAACCCAGAAGAGTGGGCAAGCCTGGTTTTCCCTGCCTTCCTCCCCCTCCCCCCCCCAGCCCTGTTGCAAACTGCACCCAAAGAGGTTGGTAAAAGAAGAGTCCTGATCTCCAGCCACTTACTGGACACTGCTTTGCCCGCAGACAGGCGAGTAGAGACTATAAGATTCCCCTCATCCACCAAGGGCACTCGCATGAAGGGTGGACCCTGTTACAGTGCCATATGAAGAGCGATCGAAAAGACTGACTTTTCAGTTTAGAAAATAAGATACTAAGGGGGGATATGATAGAGGTCCAGAAAGAGAATAAGGAAAATATATTTATTTGTTCCCATGAGATAAGAACTAGGGGTCACCAAATGAAATTAATAGGTAGCAGGTTTAAAACAAAGGTAGTTTTTCTTCGCACAGTCAACCTGTGGAACTCCTTGCCAGAGGATGTTGTGAAGCCCACGACTTTAACCGGGTTCAAAAAAGAACTAGATAAATTCATGGAGATTAGGTCCATCAATGGCTATTAGCCAGAATGGGTAGGAATGGTGTCCCTAACCTCTGTTTGTCAAGGGCTGAAAATGGACGACAGAGGGATCACCTGATAATCACCTGTTCTGTTCTCTTCTTCTGGGGCATCTGGCATTGGCCAGCCAACAGGCTACTGAGGCCTTTGTTCTGACTCAGTATGGCCATTATGTTAAGTTGCTTTACTTCTCACTATTTCTGCTCAAATGTATTTTCACCTTGAGTTATGTTTTCTCCAGTCTTCTCAAGTAAAACATTAAAAAAAAAAGCCACTTATTCCTGTCTGACTATTGTGATGTCATAGCAGAATTTTCAGAAGCCTGCTCAATCCATTTCTAATTTCACACACTCAGCAACTGACCTAATAATCTGTCACAAACCTTGTAGCCATTCAGAGTGGATTTGATTTACATCAGGACTTAAATTACCTGTCAGGAAGACTCAATTTAATCATGGTTTTCTATATAAAAGTCCATTCTTGTTGGTAGGTGTAACCTTAATATTTATTATTCACAACTGAGAGATAGATGTAGGTTTCATTTTTAGAAGGTAGACATTACACATTTTTTACAAGTATTTTATTTTGAAAACTCCAGATTAATTTTACAGCTATATCAGAAAATGAATGGTGGTTTGGCTATTTCATTTACCAATGGTAATTGAAGCAGGTATTTATGAAGTCATTGGGAAGTGAACTATCTCCAATTAACAGGTTAATCATTAATATTTGGAGGATTTTTTTGTGTGTGCCATGCTGTATGAGGAGAAGACTATTACCAGACAGACATTTAAACTATTTTATTTAACTAAAACAACATTATGTAGTCTGGATTTTTTTTCTTCAACAGCAAACATATTATTTTAACAAAACAAGCATATGAACTTTTGAATTTCTAGTGTTCTATGATTAAACATTCAAATTTTTTAATTGTTCCTTTCTGTTAAATTGTTAACTAAAATAGTTGATTTAAAAAAAATATATATTTCATGTAACTGTCAGCCTGGTCAATGTGAGAAATTTAAAATATTGGCTTCTGCAGCTAACTCAGTCATCTTCACCTTCATTTTCCTGCTGTCATAGCTAACTCCTCTTTTTCAGCAGTAAAGGTTTGACTCTGGTACCGAATATTGAGAATATTTGCAAGAAAATGGCCTGGAGATACTGCTTGTCCCATTGGGGGCAGGGGTTAATCCTTGTAATTTAACTCTATCATTGCATATTACTCTTTTTAAGATCTCATTCAGTTTCTTCCAAATTTCAGTAGCATGAGCAATAAAACAGCTATTTCCCTGCATTTGTTCCACATTTCTCTTAAACCCAATGCTGAGAACATTGGCTATGATAGTTTACAAACTGTCATCAGATTAGGCCAGTTTTTTATATAGTGCTCAAAACAGTCCACTATTGAGTTCTATTGCACATTTTGTGGGAGTTAACTTCATTATTCCAGAAATAAAGGCTAATGTTGAAATTGCAAAATACTTCCATAACAACCACGTTGCAGCTGCTGCTCTGAAAAAAGTGGGAGGAACACGTTATTTCCCTTCTAATGAGAGAATGGTATGGTAGATCTCAAATCAATGAAGACTACACTCAAGACTTCTAGAATATGCTGTTTAAACAGTTTCACTTTTGTTCCATCAGTACTTGCTAGCCAGGATGGATAGGAATGGTGTCCCTAGCCTCTGTCAGGGGCTGCAAATAGATGACAGGAGAGGGATCACTTGCTGATTACCTGTTTCTGTTTTCTCTGGGGAATCTGGCATTGGCCACAGTCAGAAGAAAGGATATTGGGCTAGATGGACCTTTGGTTGGACCCGGTATGGCCGTTCTTATGCTCTCATGTTTCTATTGATTGTCCCTCTCTTCTCACATTTATCTCCAGGCTTCTTCTTTGTCTGGATCTATTCTACCCCCAACAATCTTCTTTTCATTGGGTTTTTTCAAACTTTGCACTTTTAGAGCAGGATAAGGGATTGACTTGGTACACACAGATTTGCAGAGGGACAATAGGGTTGAAGTCTGTTATTTCTCACTTCTATATATTACCTATCTATTTTAAAACATTTTTGCTGTTAACAAATGTGTTATCTCTGGAGCCACGAATTCAGTGTGAGAACTGCAAAATTAAGCATCTCTGATTGTATGTTCTAGGCTGAGCACTGAGTCTCATTGGATAAATAAATTAATTTAAATCTGTACAGAAGTATGTGTAACTCCATAAAATTGGGTTAGAATCATAGAATACTAGAACTAGAAGGGACCTTGAGAGATCAAGTCCAGTCCCCTGCCTTCATAGTAAAACCAAGCACCATCTAGATCAGGGGTTTCCAACCTTTTTTGGTCCCTGTACTCCTTTGGCTTTTAGTAAACCTTCCCATACCCCCTATTCAATATGAAAGGAAATAAATTCTAGACTCTAGAATCCACAACTTTTTTCACTAACACTACTAGTTTTGGAATATTTCAATTAGGATAATCTAGTTATTTACCAAATATTCCCCCTTGACAAGCTTCTCGTACCCCCTGGGGATACACATACCCCAGGTTGGGAACCTCTGATCTAGATCATCCCTGACAGGTGTCTGTCTAACCTACTCTTAAATGTCTCCAGTCATGGAGATTCCACAACCTCCCTAGGCAATTTATTCCAGTGTTTAACTACCCTGACAGGAAGTTTTTCCTAATATCCAACCTAAAACATCTTTGCTGCTGTTTAAGCCCATTGCCTCTTGTCCTATCAGCAGAGGCCAAGGAGAACAATTTTTCTCCCTCCTCCTTGTTACACCCTTTTATGTACTTGAAAACCACTATTCTGTCCCCTCTCTTCTCTTTTCCAAACTAAACAAACCCAATTCTTTCAGTCTTTCTTCATAGGTCATGATTTCTAGACCTTTAATTATTTTTGTTGCTCTTCTCTGGATCCTCTCCAATTTCTCCACATCTTTCTTGAGATGTGGTGCCCAAAACTGGACACCAGTATTCCAGCTGAGGCCTAATCAGAGCAGAGTGGAAGAATGACTTCTCATGTGTTGCTCACAACACTTCTGTTAATGCAGCCCAGAATCATGGTTTGTGTGTGTTTTTTTCCAATAGTGTCACACTTACTTATTAATATTTAGCTTATGGTCCACTATGACCCTGTAACACTGGGGTGGGAGGCTCAGTACCAAGAGCACCTCCTGCTGGTCACTCAGGTAATTAGCATTTTTGGTGCTGGAGTGCCCCCTTCTAGCTGGTGTTACTGTTGCTCTCCACCATTTCGTGTCAGGGCCCACGTCTCTCCCAGACTACAGCGCCCTCCTACCAGGATACTGCCCTACTGCAATGCCACTATACTCTGGAGTCCTCCTCTGGGGACCCTCAATCCCCCTATGCCAGTGGTCTCCAACCTTTTTATACCCAAGATCACTTTTTAAATCTCCAAACAGGCGAAGATCTACTGCCCCGCCCCTTCCTTGAAGCCCCGCCTCTTCCTTGAAGCCCCTGCCCTCTCTATTCTCCTCCTGTCAATCACTTGTTATCCCCAGCCCTTATTTACACACTCTGATAAACAGTTTATTTTTAAATTATGCGATATATAAAATTAAAATCACGTGTTTATAGTTATGAAATATTTTTTATTCATGCTATTTAAATCTAAAATGAAGCATTTATAACTATACATTTTGTGGGGACAGAGTTCTGTGGCGGGAGGCAGGGAAGAAGGAACAGGGTGCTGGGAGAGCAGAGGACAGGGTTCTGCAGCAAGGGACAGGGTGCTAGTGGGGACAGGAATAGGGACTGAGTACTGTAGCTGGGAACAGGGGAGTGGGAACAGAATTCTATGGCTGGGGACTGGAGAGTGGGGACAGAGTTCGGGGAGTGGGAACGGGATTGGGGACAGTTCTGTAGTTGGGGACAGGGGAGTGGGGACAGAGTTCTGTGGCTGGGGAGTGGGGTGCCAGTGGAGGCAGAGAGTCCCCTGCATCTGCCTCCTCCCGGGATTCCCTCCCCCCCCCC